AGCTTTTCATTGGATTTTTCTCATTTGCTTCTTCTTCTTGTCTTTAACTTGGCCACTAAGGTTTCTTTCCTTTGAATCAAAAAATAAAAAACTAAGGTTTCTTTCCACATACCTCTGTCTACTATTGTGCGTTTTACGGACAAGCAACCAAATCTCTATTCGGTTTGGTGTCCTAAACTCTAAAGTAATTAATCAACTCTACAAAAGTCAACACCTTTGAGTGCTGAAAAATTATTGAACAAATTTATGTGGTGGTTAAATTAAATATTTATTTGTTTAAATAGTAAGATTTATTAATTTTTTTTGTTGGTGTTTCATAAGATGACATAAAAGCATAAATTGATAAATGAATAAAATAACACTTAATAAATTTTTCCATCTGATTGCTGAATAAACAAATGGCAATCCTACGTCCAAATCATCTCTACTCCAGAGAAGGAAGCTTGCACTCTTTACACGTGAAATCAACATTCTTAGCTTCAGTTTTCAAGCCTTAGCTTTGTGTTTTTTCTTGGTCAATAATTTACTTGATTTTTCTCATGAATATAGTTACAAAAGGAGTTCTTTTTATGTTTAAATAATGTATTAGACTAAGTTTAACAACAATCCAAGATCAAGATCTCCATATGCACAAGCCTTTGAGGAGTGTCGCCTAAAAATAAAGCCTCAAGGCAAGCCTCGATAATGCGTTTTAAAACTTTGTATGAGAGAGAATAGCGCAATAGCATTTTCTACGTTTTTTCATTTTCATTTCTTTTAGATGGATGAGATAGGTCAGTTCATGCTGCTCAAAGACCAACCTCAGTTAATAAAAAAAACACTCTTAGCAATCGTCAAGAAAGAATTAAAGGGGGAAATGATTAATATAGTGCATGAGGCAATATGGAGCCTAAAAAAGACATTTCAAAAACATTTAAAGCTAACATGGTCTCATACATATTATCCGTAACTACAATATGCTTAACATTAGTAATACTATGGGGCCCCACAGGACATCACAGTATCATATTACTTGCATTACTTGCACCAACAGGCACAGAACAAGAGGATTCTATTAAGGAATCTGTAACTTGAATTACAACCAAGATTCTAATCTAGTTTATCAAAGAAAGAAAAGAAAATCTGTGAATGTAATCCAAGGATGCCAACAAAGGATTAAAAAGGTAAGCAACCAAATTAAAACTCTAGCATTTAGATTTTGGATCTATTTTTTCATATACTAAAATAATCGTAATACAGATACTCACATGCCAAGAGTATCAAAGAGGGAAACAAAAGGTAATCTCACAAGTGGACCACAGTGTGCATTCCCCTCAATTTCAACACAATCAACTGCAAGCAGGGGACTGGTTTACTTAGCAGTGCACAATATAAGCCCCATAACAATCAAACGATTACAATTTTGAGAACCTTACATTCAATATCCCTAACATTCTCTAAGGCCTTGCAGTAAGAGTTTTCAGAAAAATATGTATTTTCTTTGAGAAGAAAATCTGAAGTGGCACTGTCATCGCTTTTATCTTTTAGAGTCTCCTCCATAACACATTTACGATAATAAATGAGAATAAGTAACACAT